GCTTGATTAAAATGAGTATTGCCACAATGTAAAATATACTTTCAGTGTTTAAAAAGTACTGCCCCTGTCACAGTATTCTATTGTCATGTATACTTTTTGTTATTGTATTTTGACATGTAACATGTTTAATTTCAACATCTTTACTTACTGTGGGCAGAATTTGTGGGAGATGATGATAAATTCTTAATCCGTTAAGTAACAAGTCACTATAATGGTCATTTAAATGTAGTAATGCAGGACTTGTGATCTATAAGTACTGTGATGCAGAAAAAAGTACAATATATACCTCTGATATGTAACATAATTAACAAATGATAAAACATACATGAACAACGTTCAGTACATGTACTGCATCACTTTCCTCCATTGGTTTCATTTTCCAGATCTTGCAGATCAGATACTTTAGTAAAACACATTTTGGAAACCACGTATGATTAAGACTCACAACTCGCTTGAAAGCAGCGGTCCTCCTCCCCCCTACATTGTATTGGAGAAGTACATTGAGAGTTGATGGGGTTACAAGTGAAACACTGTAGGGCGTTATCTGTCTGAGCAGCAGGGACTGAAAGAGAAAAAAACATAATTTGTTTGAGGAAGAGAGAAAATTTAAGCTTCACAAAATGAAAATGTAACTTGTCAGAAGATGCCAGGATGTCAATGTACTTTTTTTAAATCAATTTCTATCTTTTCTCATCTTAAATGAGCTACTTATCCGTCTGTACTCACACGGTAGAGTGTCTGTGTTGCAATTATCTGTGTTGCAGCACTTAGCAGATGCAACTGCACCTGAAACACCCAAGTTGGCTGAAAATGTCTGAGAGCCTGTGGCTGGACACAGGGAGGATGATGCACACCCCTTGAACATTTGCTGTGCTGGAGTTCCAAATAAAGAGGCTACAAAATAAAAAGTGCAGTTCGTCAATATTAACGGAAAGAACACATAACTTTGCAGTACATTTATTTCACTCAAAAGTAGAACATGGTACAAAGAAATGCCTACCTTGAATGGAAGCTGTTACACACATCGTCTCTGAGGAACATGGGGCTGGCGTTGTGGTTGAACACTGCAGATCTGTGCAAGTCTGACACTGAAGTGCCCGAGCTGCATTTGGGAGGAAAACAGTCAATGAGTGACGATCACATCTCAAATGTCAAATCAAATATCTGAAGTTTATTGATTTTCTGTAAAGGCTGAAAACTGTTCTTCATCTTGTGTGAATGGATTTTAAATGGCATGAGGTTGTTATGGTTAAAAGTGTGTTAAGTGTCTAATTTACACCACAAGACTCTTCTGCACTACTTGCACAGCCAAGTCTTGTCATGTGTATTGCCCAAGTATTGTATTATAAACAATAGAAGTTGAAGTACATTTTGTAATTTACTTATTTTTCATATTTTGTTGTATTTATTTAGTTGTTTCCTACATCTGTAGACTTCTTCTTCTGCTGTTCTATAATTTACCCCCTGTGGATCAATTAAGTCTTATCCATATTCATCTTCTCTAGAATATTTGTATGGATTTAAAAAGATTCTTGGTAAAGTAAACAACAATTTTAAGAAAAAGTAAAGTTACCTGTGCTGGAGAGTACCAAGTAAAGGGTCAGAGAAAATATCAGCTTCATCATGATGAACAGGTAAGTACTGCAGATTATTTTTACTGGATACTATGCCTTCATATCCACAATACTTTATATACTGCAAAGGTGTTCCATAAATGAACAACTCATGCAGAAAAACCTTGAGGATTGGGTGTGTTCTCATATCTTCTTTTGTTACTTTGAAAAGCATCACGTCAACAAACTCTCCCACATCCTTTTTCATTTTCAATGTTTACTCGGATAGTAAAGTATAAATACTTAATTCTTAAGTTCTACATTTAAATGAGAATTATTTCTTGTTTGGGTGTCTTTGATAATCATTACCCTCTTCTGCTTTCTGAAAATATTTCTCATCCATTTTTTTCACCAGTTCTTTTCTCGTGACACGTTATTTCTTTATTTTAGAGATTGAATGTCTAGGTCTTAATAAAGGGTGGTGGAATGTGTAATTCCAAGGGACAACATTGAAAATAAGTCTATGATCATGTAATGTAATTTAAGTGCCTTCTAAGAATTCTTACAAAGTAGCAGGAATGCACAGCAGATCATTTTTCATTTTTAATTGGTTTGTTGTTTTGTGTCATGCGTAAGTGATTCAAAGAGAAAAGAAAAAATAGATTTCCTTGACGCCAAAACCAATAATAGACTCATTATAATTGACGTTGTTCTGACAGGGAGGAAATAGTCTGACATACTATGTAAAGGAATGCCCTCACTCACACATTATTATACTCTTACTGGCTTACTGGCTTACTTCTTATAATACTTGTTTTGATCTTGTTTTTTATTATGTATCTTGTTTGCACTATCCACTATGCTGTTGTAATCCTGTAAATTTACCCACTAATAAAGAATTATCGGTAACACTTTATAATAACTACACACTATGAAGCATTAGTAAAGTATGAGTTAATTCATCATTCATAAAGCATTGTTCCTACATTAACACTCATTAGTATGCAATTCATAACAACAGTTATAAATGTTTTATTCTTGATTAATAAGCCGGTCTATTGTGTGTTTCATGATTGTGTTTTCATACTTTATAAATGATGGATTCCCCATTTGTAAACGAAGTATTATATATATTACAAACCAATTATTAAGGAGTTGTAGATGATTAATACAATCATTTATAAAGTGTAAGTAAATGATTAAGAACGTATTTAGATGTACATTTTTCATCCATTTATATACATAATGAGTTATGGTAAGGGACTCTGTTAATAAATGCTTTATAAACACGTATTAATACTGCAATTCATGATTAATTAAGGTAGTTACTACTCGTTAGTAAAGTGTTTTGTGTGACCTCATCTAAAGTGGGGACTATCTATGCTTTACAAAGCATTTATAAATGACATTGAAAGGCCATCAGTGCCTCAAAACCCATCCTTTTTTTCAGAAAAGGCAAATAGACACAACACAAAGTGATCAAGAACATATCAATATTTATTGCAAGATGCAAATGATATACTCTTAAATATAAACCTCTCAGCCAATCATTCATGTAAGCAACAAACAAACAAAGACATCCAGGAGAACATGGCTGGATATAAAAAATTTGTAAATATATACGACTGGAGCGAACCAGGAGCTTTGCATATTAGTTTACATTTACTTATTTAATTATTCATTTTAACCAAGCATGTATGCAGACCATTACCATACATTTTGTTGTGTTTTTGTCCACATACTGAATGCAATTCCAATACCCATCTACCTATTACGATTTGAGCTCACCTGATGCCGATGCGTTTATTGAATTTGTTTTGTGAAAACTTTGGGAGAAAAGAAGGGAAACCAACCCACAGCATCATGTTGTTTTACACTAATTGGCTACTAATCTCTGCATTTTTTTTCTATTACCCAATGGAACAGATTCTGTATACAGGAGATAGTATACAAATACCACAATAACGAGAGCCAGAGGTATATCAGACAAAAAATATTACAAACATAAATAACATACAGAGTTTCTTGATAGCCTTTTTGTTATTCAAATTTGAAAGTAGTTTCACATATTGCTCAACATCTTTCAAACAAAAAGGTAAGTTTTTTTATTGTTAAATTCATATTCATGAATACATGATTTTCCCAACATCATTACCAAATGTATTATTAAAAAAATGTCTTTTTGGGTTAGGGTTAGGGTTATCGTAGCATCCAGTATGTACCATGGCAGCTTCCTATATACCGTTTAGATTATTTAGAGGGAGGATAGGTCATATAAGATTCAAAGGGCTTTAATTCCGAATATCCACATCAGGGATTAATGTGAAGCGTTGAAGGAAATGGCTGCCGAGCTGAGTCTTGCGTCGTGGTGTCTTTAACACCTACATTTGGAGTTGGCATCTTTTCACCTAAAACTAGTCAGACTTCAGGTCAATGTTGAACAAGCTGAAGACTGCATGCTGGTCAAACATTGTCAGGAGTTCTGCATGCGCTACCAAAGTTGGTAATGCTAAATCACCAACACACCAGAAAGGGGTCAGGAAATGTTGCAGAAGAATGGAAAATGGAAACATTTTCACAGTTCTGAAACACATATCAGATGAGCTGCAATGCCCGGAAGAAATACACACAGCAACAAATGCAGGACAAATTGATGAGGATTAGAAATGTTGAAGGGAGACTGTACTTTTTGGAAGGCTCTTYGTAATGGGTGAATGACAGGGAAGACCCCAGTTGGTTAACATTAGACCACAGCTCAGTTGCTCCGAGGTACTTTGGCAGCAGTTGTTGTTGAGGCATCAGTTGTTGGGTTGGCAGTCGTTTAGTGCTGGAGTTATTGATGCTGGGGGAGCAGTTGTAAGGCACTTTTGGGATTAAAAAAAATTACTTTTTACATTCTACATTACATTTCATCTCAAATTGCATGAAAAATTGAAACCTTAAAAACTAAATATTGATTTGATATCCAGTTAGTTAATGTTAACTCTTTCGATTTCTTCAAAATGTACAGTCACTCCAGGATCGTGAGGAAATTGCCACACCTGCGTTTGCTGAATTGCCACTCCTACATACCACATATTTTGAACACAATAATGATTCAACAAGTAAGACAGTATGACGGGTTCAACATTGTCACTACCTCTGCTTCTCTGCCATTCCATTCTGCTGTTCCCACTTCCCCACGCCCTTACATTTCTTTAACACCTTGCAGTCATTGCCATTCTATACCTGTCCACCAGATGCTCTTTCACTGTTCCACCTGTTGTAGTCACCTGCCATTCACATTCACCTGTGGATTCTCTTTCACATCTCTTCGTACTTGCTCCCAATGCCAGTAAGCCTACCTTAACTTTTTCAATAAATCACTGAGCTGTTCTTGTCCGCCTGGATTGTCGGCATTTAGGCCCTTTTCATGCTTTCTCGCCTCATAATAGCCATACCACTAGTCCCATTATTTACGGTTTTAGTGAAGCAATATTTTCATCATTATCTTAATGCCATGGTTATTTATCATAGCGAAAACAGGGGAA